CAACCTTCCTTCCGAGGAGTGGCTGGTGGGTTTGAACCGCCAGCCATCTGGTTAGCAGGCAAGTGTCTTAGCCACTATGCTACCAGAGCTCCCAGAATATTAAATTAAGTTCTTTAAAAGAGAAAAGAATGATGTCCTTATTTCATAAGACATGGGAATACCTTAAAGCACTGGTAAATTTGTGGAACCTTGCTAAAATTGGCATACTCTTCATATTAGTTGCTGCCACCAATCATCTGTCAGTTTGTCATACTCTGGTGGCTTGTATGTTGCTGTGAGACTGGAGGCTATGCCACCAGTATTTCAAATACCAGCAGGCTCACCCCTGGTGGACAGGTTTCAGAATATCTTAAGCCAGGTATGGGTGATTTTTGTGGGAATTTCTCAGGAAGGTTAAAGTTATTCCTTAGTAGGTAAGGAAAGGCAAAACACTTCTCCAGAGGCATAGGCAGTGACATGAACATTTATTCAGAATAGGAACAGAGAATTAGGAGAGAAGGGATTTAAAAGACAAAAGAAAACAGGCTGACAAACATTGCTAACAAGTTCAGCATCCAGCAGCGGCAGGCTGTGATGGATCCAAAATGACTGCTAAGCCCTCCAATTTTGGGGATGTTTATACTTGAGTTGGAAAAATTGTGGATGAGGGTTATGTGACTGGGATTGGAGGGCTACATGGCCAATGTTAAACTTTGTGGCACTGGGGCTGATCACCAGGGTGTCCTGGGCATTGCCCTATGAAACCACCTGTGTATGCTTTGATAAGATTCTGACAGTTAGTAAGATTTTATTGCCTGAAGCTTTTGTAAGGATGAGTTAATGCCTTATAGGATAGGTGGTTAATACCTAACCGAGGTATACAAGACAGGGAGGGAGAGAGAAAATGGCTCCTTGTTCTTACAAGCACAGCTAAAGATGATGAGGTCTGAGACCCATTTTGGGGGGTTGCAGTTACTGACCATACAGTGAGTTTGTGGAATCTTCTTAAAATTGGCATAGTCTTCATATTAGCACCTATCTGGAATGCTAGAAATGAGAATCACAAGTGTTTCCTGCATGACATATGTAAAACTTCTAATCTATTTTCAAGACTGACTAATTACCATGTGCTTTATGTTAGACTACTATCTAGCTGATTTACACTCTTATAGTGATTGATTTTGTCAATTGTATAACTTCACAGTTACCCACTGTGCTCAGGAATTTAATTAAAATATAATGTGCTAAAGAGAAGCAGAATTTTGATTTATTTTATTTAAATTGAAGTTTATTAACACTCATCCACTAGATGCATTTACATAATTAAAGCATCTCAATCTAAGTATCTGATAATAAGCTACTGCCATAGATAGTTATTACTGCTCATTCTTACTTCATTTTCTATTTCTATTTAAAGAAGAATGGTCAGTGTGATTATATCACTGGAACACCATGTTCTTGAAGACATGTTGTATTTTTCTTCATCCAACTCTAAAGGAACTTTGTAAATTTCCAGGTCCAAAAGATTTCCAAAAATCTGTTGGCACACTCTATAAGGTGACAAGAGAACATCTTATGCCTGGTTTTCATTATCTTCAAAGAAAATCCTCATATATTTTAATCAGTATCTGATAGCTGATGTTGTTGTTGTTGTTAAGTGCCGTCGAGTCGTTTCCGACTCATAGCGACCCCATGCACACAGCAGAAGGAAACACTGCCCGATCCCAGCCCCACAATCCCTGCTATACTTGATCCCATCATCTCAGCCACTGTATCAATCCATCTCGTTGAAGGCCTCCCCCTCTTTCGTCGACCCTCCACCCTACCAAGCATGACATCTTTCTCCAGGGAATAGTCCCTTC